CCCCCCCCAAGCTTTTAGGCTGATGCGATGACTACCAGAAGAAAGATACCCAAAGGATGCATAAGCCTTCGTCCATTCCGAGGGAAGAATGATAGTTAGAACATCCTGGTTTTTCAAAATCGCTCGGACCTCTGCTTCTTCTTTGCAAGTCCAGTCTGGTACCCACGAGGGTAATAAATCCACGAGAGCTCCTTTGTTAGACGCGTGGATAAGAATCTCCAAGCTGTCGTCAAATTGGATGATATTCTTCGCCGTCTCGATGAGTGTATCACTAATGGATCTCTCAGAGGAGTAGTCCGGGACAATTCCATAGCCTGGGTAAGCTAAACCAAGAACAGCATACACTGTGTCCCTGGTATCCGAAGTCACGCGATGCCGAGAATCTGACAGTAACGACACGAGGGAGGCTGGCCCAGCCTATCGAAGTTTGCTTTCGACCATAGAAGCCACCATACCTTCAGCCCTCTCAGCTTGTTTCTCTCGCTCGCGAATACGAGAAAGTCTACGACACTCAGGTCCGTTTGCGGAAAATCCTTGGTTATTGTCTAGAAAGAGGTCGCCACGAGTTACGAAAAACCTCGTAGCGGATAAATAGGAGTCCAGGATCGGCGATAGGTCGTTCTAGGCAATAGATGTACGGCCATATAGGAAATGAGCATGAGTTGCACTCATGAATTCTTGGTAGACCCAGCCCCTCATCCACCAAGGACCCCCTTCTCGATAATTTGTATCCAGATCGTTATCTTGTCGAGGGACGCGTTGATTCAAGCTCCGTAACCATTGGATGCCTCGGCCACTGACATTTTTTGTTGACAGGCATATAAGAACTTCCACTGCGCACGAATATATATCTCGCATAAGCCCAACTTGTTGAGATCTTTCGGAAATATTTTACTGGTCGATGCAGCTGATCTACCCAGAGGAGGAATTCCTTCGATCCATACATCTTCTTCCAGAAATAGCGCGCTTCTGCCAGAGCTTGTACCAAATTGGCAAATGCTCTGAATTTGACTCCATTGACAGTGATCCACTGAGTCTTGTTTGGGACGCCGGCACAGTATGACAGTGCAGAGTATGTTCCGCGTATGGTCTTGAGGGGCTTCTTGCAGAGCATTTCGCAGTCAACCAAGCCAGCGCCATGGTCCGGCAAAATCCTAAGAAGACGAACCTTGCGCTTAGATGAATCTAAAATGTCGTAAACATGAGCGTCGCAGAATGCATCGTTGCGAGGAGTGCCAAAGATGTCATGTCCAGGCTGCTCTCTGGTGTGTGAATGTTTTAACATTGGGGCGTCAGCCTTGGACATCGGATGTCGATCAAAGCGTGAGGTCTAAATCAAAAGTGGTAAAATATGTAGGTACTGTAGCTCGTCCTGGATGCCTACATGGATGCCACTATAGAGTCAGGAGTGTTGTGGATTTGTTGCAGGCTATTAAATTTGTACCTATATGTTCAGAGGTGTAGCTTTCAGCACGCTATTCCAAAAGCGGTTCGCTACCTCGGCAAAAGTACTGATCTAACTGGCGAGTTCAGATAAATCTGTATAGTATAGCCGCCACAAGGCTTGAAAATGGGTTTAGGCATAGTATTAGATATATATAACTTAAGTAATACCCTCTATAGAAAGTATAACTAAGAAAAGTACTAAGGTAGAGGTTTAGGAAAGGAACTATATTATAGACTTCTAGTAAAGGCTGTGACGATTCTCAAACTAACTAAGGTAACTAAGTCTCGCTAGGTTGGTTGCTTATAAAGAGGTTCGTATCGCACGGGGTTGTTTACTCGGAGGTAAACTCGTCACTTAATTGTAAAGCTATTAGGTTATAGTAACAATATAATATTAAGTTAAGCACGAAGCTCCTATCTNGTTCGTATCGCACGGGGTTGTTTACTCGGAGGTAAACTCGTCACTTAATTGTAAAGCTATTAGGTTATAGTAACAATATAATATTAAGTTAAGCACGAAGCTCCTATCTGTAACCGTGTGGAGTGAACCACTGCTTGCTGTGATGAATACGGAGTCAAACGGAAACTGCTGTATTGAGCGAACAACAAAGTGAGGAAGGAAGAGAGTTCCAGAGGAACGAGAGCTTAAATACAGGATGCCAGCAGCGCGCACGTGACACATACTACATGCTGCGCTACACGTGATCAACCCCTAGTTCCTCCAACTCCGTAACANCTCGGAGGTAAACTCGTCACTTAATTGTAAAGCTATTAGGTTATAGTAACAATATAATATTAAGTTAAGCACGAAGCTCCTATCTAATAGCAGACGTGCCAGTCTTATATAGAACCTTCCTGCCCGCTGATCATTATAATCACCCTGATCATACTGATCCAGCTTAGCGTTGCTCAGTTGATCATTAATGATCAATAACGGTCACATGACTACTATCTAATGAAATCCCTAGATCGCTTAGTTATACTAACCGATCCTCTAATACTACTAGGGGCCGCGGAAGTAAATTCCACAGGAGTAAAAGCGTAGCTGTGATACGTTACGGGTCGTAAAGAGTGAAAAAGTTGAATAAGATGCCCGTGGTGCGTCCGTTTGTAGTCACGTGACACATTCATTTGATGTCGAAGGTGAAGTGAATAGTAGTAGATATTTGTCTTGAATTTTTCTAGCCTTTACCTTCCCTTCTCTACAACAACAACAACAACAACAGCAACAATAGAACGTAAGCCTCCTTCTTTAATACCCTAACTATATGAAAAGGCGTTACGGGCCGTAAACTAACAATTACGGACTGTAGAATGGTGAATACATATACCACCGCCGCCGCCGCCGCCACCACCGCCCGCGCTGCTGCTGCTGCTGCTACTTATGCAGCTTCTCTACCGTTCCCTGCCCTGCTCGCCCTCCCTCACCGGCCTTCACAGACTATGATCTCTCTTGCGGGGCTGGTTGCGGTCCGTTCTGCTAACTTGCGGCCCGGCCGTACAATATCTACTGCCCGGCCCACCAACCTGGAGGCTTTACTTGGTCAATTGACCGGCCAAGTAAACACCCCCGGGTGTACACACTGTGCATGCGTCCGTTTGTAGTCACGTGACACATTCATTTGATGTCGAAGGTGAAGTGAATAGTAGTAGATATTTGTCTTGAATTTTTCTAGCCTTTACCTTCCCTTCTCTACAACAACAACAACAACAACAGCAACAATAGAACGTAAGCCTCCTTCTTTAATACCCTAACTATATGAAAAGGCGTTACGGGCCGTAAACTAACAATTACGGACTGTAGAATGGTGAATACATATACCACCGCCGCCGCCGCCGCCACCACCGCCCGCGCTGCTGCTGCTGCTGCTACTTATGCAGCTTCTCTACCGTTCCCTGCCCTGCTCGCCCTCCCTCACCGGCCTTCACAGACTATGATCTCTCTTGCGGGGCTGGTTGCGGTCCGTTCTGCTAACTTGCGGCCCGGCCGTACAATATCTACTGCCCGGCCCACCAACCTGGAGGCTTTACTTGGTCAATTGACCGGCCAAGTAAACACCCCCGGGTGTACACACTGTGCTGGTGGGTCTGGAGCGTAGAGTACGTGTGTGTCGGTGCCTGGCTTCTTTGGGCAAAGCTGTGCCAACTGCCATTACGGCAGTGAAGGACGCCGCTGCTCCCTCCGTAAGTGAACTCTCCTACCTATTACGGAACGTAGCTAACCATTACGGATAGGACCAGGCAACATCGCGTCCGCTGCTCGTGTTGCTGCTGCTGTCGCTGCTGCTACGGCTGCTCCTGCTCCCGCCGCCGTGGCCCAGGTCGCTCCTCACAACCCTCTCCGCCGCTCTGGTGCTGGTTCTGGTGCTGTCCGCTCTAGTGCTGCCTGTAAGTTAGATTTACGGCCCGTGAAAAGATCTTACTAACGTAAAATAGCGCGGCGCACCGGCCGTGCCCGTAAGGCGCCCCTCTCAGCCTCTCAGAGGGCACGTCGTTTCGCGGAGCTCCATAGGGGGCTAGCGGCTCTTTACGAAGAGGAGGCGAGGGTACTAGAGGATGAGGAAGAGGAAGAGGGAGAGGAAGAGGAAGAGGGAGAGGAAGAGGAAGAGGAAGAGGGAGAGGAGGAGGAGGAGGAGGAGGAGGAGGAGGAGGAGGAGGAGGACAGCTAGTCTGCTACAGAGTTGTAAATCCTTTTCAAGGTCCGTTTACGAGTGTGATAATAGTTAGCGATAGGTTTTTTAGTCCGTAAATCCTATCCAAGGTCCTGTTTACGGGTGTAACAAAAGAATATGTGAGAGGCCAGACCTCGAATAGCTCAAAGGTGTGGTTTCGAATATTCAATTAAGAAGTGCGTGAAGACTACATACATGCAATCTCTTCCTCTATATATAGAGAGAGGAAGAGTTTCTGGAGTCTTCCAAGAAACTGTTTGAAAAAAACGTGACGTCAAAAGAATAGAGTAGAAAAGTGTAGAAAAGGAGAAACCAATTTAGCAGTGGAGCAATGGCCAATGCTGAGCGGGGACTTTGGTCAGTGCTTAGCGAGGGCATGGCCCGAGCCTCCATCATGGGTTCCAACCCTCACACTTACTTGCAGTTTATTTAAACTTCTTACGTAGCACACTAGATAGCTTTTCAAGCTCGCCGCAATACATGCTCTTTCCTGCCACCTTTTTACTCTGGCTTCTACGCAATGGCCTCAGGGCCCTCTCAAGGCATATGTATTAAATCAGGCTTTTGCACGGCACATTTTGCATTCGCCCCGTGACACGAGGCCTTTCGTTCTTCTAGGTACACGGAGATTTATAATCCTCACAGTGATTAGATTATTTTCGTAGTCCTACCCATTTGTCATTTACGATTACTATATCTGGTTGTTCTATTCTACAAATCACCTTAGACTTGGTGGTTCAAATAAATAATATGAGCATTGATGTCTAAGGCAGAACGTAGCCTATTTGTATAATTCAAGTATACTTGCCACAGCGCATAAACATCAGCCAGGCCCCCATTGTGTAGGATTTGTAGCCTTAGGCCGCAGTTAACACACCTCAGCTGATTTGTCACGTAACTGGTGTCTGTATTATTTCAGTAAGCGCGACACACTTGGTAGAGCGAGGTCGCATCTACGGCTAGTGAATCACAGGTGCACGCAGAGAATAGGCGCGTTGCCTCATTTTCTTGGTAGCTCACGCAAGCGAGGATGCGATGAGAAGAGTCAAAAGCCGCGTAAGAGACAATGTAAATAGCAAAATGAATAACTATAAGAATGAACAAAAACGTTTTGCTGTTAGAGTCAATTTAGTCAATTTGGTCAATTTGGTCAATTAAGTCAATATTGACCTGGACACACTGCTGGTAGTGAAGGGACAGGATTGCATTGCCGAAGAACCCGACGTAGCTCACCAAGCCTGACTCGTGAACCCTCTGTCACGAACCTAAGATTTATATGTGACATACCAGATCCACTCAAATTGGAAATCTATAATGGCGAAAAGAGAAGAACCGCCTCTAGAACACGTAATTTTTCCGTAGTCCACTATATTAAAATAGGGAACGAATTGCCTAATGAAAACAACTCATTACATTTACTATGATCATTCTATATTACAAGGCTCTATCAAGGCTTGTTACGCTGAGATATAGGTAACCAGCATGAATTTAGACCCTGGTTTACCCGTTCCCCTACTCTATAATAAGCCTCTTACACAGTGGCAGCCGAATATAGTTAGATAATTATAGTATCGAGAACCTTCTAAGAATAAATGATTGGCTAAGAACCCTGGTTACGTTGGTCTCGAAATCCTTATCGTATACCCTAGACCTACGATTATTCAAAGGGAGAATAGTATAAGTTAATAGAAATATAGTAAAATATATTATTATTAGGGATAGGAAAATGATTATTATTATTTTAAAACAATAACTCCTACACTATACCTGAGTAGTACGATGAAACAAATTGCTATACTTATATTCTGCTTTATTACTAATGATTTAAGCGAATAGAAGAGTGATCAGGTGTGACAGTTTTTGATTTAGTGAATAAGGGTTCGCTTAGCGAAGTTGCGGGTGTACCCTTCCGTAGATAGACAAATACCTAAGGAGTGCGAAGAGCGTCTCTCTTCCCTCCTTGCGAACAATCTATTCCTTGATCCCCACCATAACACCTGGCTAAGTGCTTCTCGTAGGTCCCCGGTCTTAACTATTTCAGGTTATTATTTATATTTATTTATTTATTGCTATTTAACGTCAAGCGGAGTCTAGCTCGCGTGGGCTAGGTCCTGTGACAGACGTGCTTCAGGTAGAACTCAGAACAATTAACACTCTATTCTTAGGACAAAAGACGAGGAAAGAAGGAGAGCTCAAGAGAGCTGGGAACTAAATACAGGTCGTGCGCGCTAGCGCCTCGCTAAGCGAGCATGTGACATCCAGCCCTCGTGACCATAACCGTCACAGGTCCTAGAAGAGTCCCAAAATAGGGCAAATGACGCTAGGGGGGTGCCCTAGTCTACAGGGGGGTGTAAACGAAAGAGCTAATTTACATGAGGCAGTTTAAAGAGAAGCTCCACTTTCGGAACAGCTCTTATCCTTAATTAGTTTAAGAACCAGGGTAAAACAAAGGAGATATATAAAGAAAAAGGAAATAAAAGAAGGCTTGTCTATCTAGAGAGGCAGATCTTAGTGTAGAATTCAGTATTGAAGTAAACCTTGCTAAAGAGCTCTTCGCAGTGGGCTCCGAAGAGCAGTTGAGGATTTCTCTTAGCCTTAGCTAATAGCTTAGGTGCTTTGTTGTTTGCTAGCTTGCAAAAGAGTAGGTGGAATTGAGACTTAGCCTTCCTGCACCTACACTCCCCCGAGGTGAGAAGTGTATCATAGTGAAAGAAACGAAGGTGGTAGGCGGTGAAGTCTCCATGGCCAGAACGAGCAGCTATTAAGCGGGCTAGGACCTCTCTAGGCAGCTGGAGAGACCGGGGTTTCAAGGACCAGTTGTAGAGCCCTAGATCCTTGTAAAGACCTGGAAGTGTAGTGCTCCAGAGCTTCTTCGCAAGCGTGCCCCCTAGCTCCTTTACCTCTCTCTTAAGCGTGGCTGTACAGAGTAGAGAGGGGGGACCAGGAAGAAGTATCCGCGCTGCTTTTCCTGCAGCTTTATCCGCAATCTCATTGCCAAGGATACCTATGTGGCTAGGACACCACCTTGTCTGTATTTTCCCAGGGTACGATTGAGCTAATTCGTAGACCCTGTTAAATGTCTCTTGTGAGGTGCCACAGGACCGGTAGGTCAGCTGTAGTGTGGCTTCAAGGTTGTCAAGGCAGATCCAGCACTTCCTTGCCGAAGGCCAGAAAGAGGATTCTAGGGCAAGCTCTAGGCCATGGAGAGCAGCTCTAGCTTCTGCATCATATATTTCTAACGCTTTGCCGAAAGAGAAGCTCTTTGTATTAAGAACAACCCCCCCTCTTGTGAGGCACACGCCCCCACCAGTGCTTTTATCGTCCAAGCGAGAGCCGTCGGTAAATACTACTAAGTCGGTAGGTGGGAGTGTAGCTAAAAACTCAAGGAATTTGGCCTTAAAGGAGCTCTTGTCTCCACTGGGCTCAGGTCCTGCTACCTCTAGAAGCCGGGATTGTCGGTTGAAACCTCTGTCCCACGGCGGGTCTTGTATAGGGTCGATCTCTTCAGAGGGGGGCAGGGCTCTATAAGAGCGGTAGATAAGCCTAGCTTTAGAGCTAGGGTTATTTACACATCGTTTAAGCGGGTGGGTAGGGTCTAGCCGTCGGATCCTAGCTTCTAGTGCTTCGCTCCTTGTTATAAGAGCAATTTCAGAGGCTAGGAGGCCAGATTCCATGAGTAGTACCGAGGTAGGGGTAGTCTTATATACTGGGAGGATAATCCTCGCACATTTAGCCACTACTCTGTCTAAAAGAGTCAGGTGACGGCCAATTCGGTTGTTTGTAGTCCCTCCTTCCTTGGCTCTGGCTCGTCCAGGGAACCAGGTCTCGCTTCCAAAGTAGGCGATTGATAGAATGCAAGCTGTAGTGGCCTGTTTCAGCAGATGGGAGGGAGAGCCTCTTACTGTGTTTGTTGTCCCTTTTAGGGCAATCGCTACAAGCGTAGCCTTACTTGACATCCTTTTAACATGGTTGTAGAAAGTAAGACGGGGATCAAAGAAGACACCAAGCCATCGAAGCTCTTGAGTTGGCTCTATTGTCCTGTTTCCCACTACAATAGAGGGTGGTAGGCAGATGCCTCTCCCTTTTTGCTTTCTCTTACGAGAAAAGTGGATAAGTTCAGACTTCTCCGCGTCGAAGGTAATGCCTTCCTTTGTTCCCCACTCTAAAGCCTTAGCCACCTGTTCAGCGAGGACCTTAACATTCCCTGCCTTTGTAGACCCAGAAGCAAGTAATCCAATGTCGTCCGCGTAGCCGAACCTTTGTAACACTGGGAAAGAGCCTACCCCTAAGGAGAAGAGTGGCTGGATGTAGAGCATAAAAAGGATGGGCGAGATAGGAGAGCCCTGGGGCAGCCCGCACTGAAGAGGAGTAGAGACTCCTATTTCCCCGTCCAGCTTTACTTTGACAGATCTGTCGGTCAAGAAAGAAGTAACCCATGCTACAAAGCTATGCGGCCATCCTTGCTCTCGTAGCCTCTTAATAAGGCGGCCAGGAAGTACTGC